ACTTTACCCTACTCTAGTTTTTTTTCTTGTTGAGGAGATTTAGGGCCTGTTTGATACACGGGGCTAGTTACTAGTTGGGGCTAAAAATTAGCCAAATTAGCTATAGGGCCTGCTCGGATGCACATGGCTAGTTAGTAGCCGGACTAAGGGCATGTTTGGATACCAGAGCTAATTGTGAGCTAGCTAAAATTAGCTAAAATTAGCTTTAGTGCATCCAAACGGGAGAGCTAATAGGTGGGCTATTTTTTTAGCCAAGTGTTCAACTAGAGTGTTTGGATCCAGGAGCTAATAATTAGCCCACGTTTTCACCCACGTTTTCGGATACCAACTAGAAAGCCTAAGTGTGGGCTAATCTTGGGTTAATAAGAGCTAATGAGGGCTAACTGGTGGTTAGAGTCCATTAACCCTTATTAGCCCATAATTAGCTCATGTTTAATCTATTTTTACAAGGTGGGCTAATTTTTAGCCCTAGGATCCAAACAGGCTTGAAGAGCTCATTTTTAGCTCAGCTAGTAATTAGCCATATGTATCCAAACGTGCCCTAAAAATCAGCTCACATTGGTTGTGGTTGGCTAGGTAGTTGGATAGTAAGGACATGTTTGGATCCAAGAGATAAATTCTAGCTAGCTAAGCATCCAAACAGAAGAGCTAATAGGTATGCTAAATTTTTTGCCACATGCTCAACTACTAGTTAGCCAATTAGCTAGACAACCATAGCTAATTTGAGCTAATTTTTAGCCCTGCTAATTATAAACCATGTGTATCCAAATAGACCTAGTTGAAGACTTGGCTAAAAAACTAGCATATCTATTAGGCTTCTTGTTTGGATGTTTAGATGCACTAGAGCTAATTTTAGCTGATTTTTAGCGAGCTATCAATTAGCCCTTGTATTTAGACATGCCCTTAGTCTACACTCTGATTAAATTTAAGTAGTGGCCAGTAGTGCTGTCAACCTTCTGTAGACAAAGTCATCAACCCCCCCCCCCCCCCCCACCCCCACCCCCACCGCAACCCCAAAAAAAGGCACGAGCAGCATAGACCATGAAACAGTCTGTGAACAAGTCGTAGAAAAATGAAGAAAAGGAGTAGTGGAGCAGAGTTTCTCACCCCTCTGCGGCCAATGTACTTGGCCATCTGGCCGCTGGCGATCGCCCCGACCATGGCGCCCACGTTGGACAGCGAGCCGAACGCCGAGAACTGCGGAGGGCGACGGAGCTCAAATTCGTTTTGAAATGAGACAAGAAGAAAACGTCGAGCCGAGCGTGAAGACAGAATGTGTGTGTGTGTGCGCGCGCGCGCGAGCAGACGTAGAAGCTGCAGCCAGGACGTACCTCGGAGATGGAGAGGTTGAGGTCCCGGATGACGCCGTCCTGCGTCGGCGAGGAGTACCCGTTGGTGAAGCCGAACTGGATGGGGCCGAGCGCGACGATGAGCGTGCAGAGCAAGGCGGAGACGTGGGACTCCCGCGGGACGGCCATGGAGGAGGTGCCGGCGGCGTTGAGGCTGGACTGGTGCGACCCCATCCCCATCAGGTACCAGCTCCCGCTGTTGGGCAGCAGCGGCTTCTGCAGCGCGCCGTCGTGGTCGCTGCCGCTCTCGGACGCCATGTTGCTTCTCCCAGCTCGCGGCGAGATTTGATTTGTTTCGTTTTCTCCGGGTGGGGTTGGTGGATGGAGGGAGAAGCAGGTGGGAGGAGGACAACGCGAATGAATGCCAGGCCCCAGGAGAGGAGACGATGGTGAGATTTGATTTTTTTTTTCTTCGTTTTCGTTCCGTACCGTTGAAGTAGGGCTGTCGAGTCGTCGTCGTGCCAGGCAGGTCTCGCCGGGGTCCAACCCGTCAGAGACACAGAAGTGCCTCCTCTTTTTCTGAGCTGACCTGGACATGACTTCCAGCTCATCATCCACGCACATGTCTGTGAGCCCGTGTTGTTTTGCCGTTTCTCGATACTGTCATACCGACAAATTACTGTCTTTGAGCAACACTGTAGTGTCCCATACATCCTAAGTTTTTTTTATTATTTTGGGCAAAGCTAAGTCACTTTCAGGAATACGATTTGATTTTAAATAAAGACCATTTCTCTATTTTTGTTGGACGTGCGGTGCCCGGACGTTCGACGGAATATTCCATCGGACGGCCGTTCCTGCGCGTGCTTGCACACCCTGTCCGCGTCCGCAAATTCGCTTTGCCCATGTGCGCATCGCGCCGTCGTCGAGCAATCCGTCATGTCCGCCTTGATTTGACCCGCCCCCATCCGCGCACCCTGCCGCTTGCCCAGTCCTGTCAAGCCCCCGACAGTCGGCCCCCAGCGCACTACGTGCCACGTCCGTCAACCACCGGCTCGTCGTGCCCCGTTCCCCGACACCCGTGCTGCGCCACCATCACTACCCCACGCTCGTGACTCTCCGAATAGCATGAAACACTTGAATGCAACATACATCTGAAACAGATAAACCATCTGGAAAACATACTTACAACATGTGTGAAAACATATGCAACATCCAGATAGAAAACTTGCAACTTATAACATAAAAACACTTGCTGCAATGGAAAACTAGAATAAATGAAACATTTAGAATATGCTGTTGCAACATATATGTAAAACATATACAACATCCAGATCAAAACACTTGCAGTATATGTTTGGAATAGATGAAACGTTTTGAACAAACTCTTGCACATGTCTCTAGAACACTTGCAAAAATGCAACATGTGCAACATCTCCCGATCTACTTTTTGCAACATCTATATGAAAATACTACAACATACCTCTGAAGCGTTAGAAACACTTAAAACATATATTTGCAACATATAGAAGGGGAGCGCTTGTGCCGGTTAATTCCGACCGTCGGGGTGGGAACCGGTGGCGAGTGGCGGCGCGCAAGCACCACTGGCATCTAGCACCAGCGGGGCACGCGAGCACCACCGCCACCAGCACCGGGATTAGGTCGGTCGGGCAGCGGCGCGGCCATGACACAGCCAGAAAGGAAAGCACCACCAAACACCAAGGCGCATGACGAGAGGGGCGTGCGACGGGCATGTAAACAAAGCGGCGGATGGATGGGGTGCAAAGAAGGCGAGGGAGTGTGTGTCCCATATCAGGGAGGCACCGCAAGGCGTTGCGACAAGGGAGAAGGAAGTGGAAAGGATAAGGATGTATGACTTTTTTTTTAATAAACTCACAAGCAAAACGAACGGCAGGATAAAATCACAAGCAACGAGGCAGTGGGACTGCATGAGCGTCCGATGATTTGCTCGTGTTGGACGTAAGAGGTGTATCATTACTTTTGTTTTCTGTCCGTCCTCGTGTTTCTCGTGGTCGCGGAGGGTACAGCTAATGAAAGAAAGAAAGAAAAAAAAACTCCCTCTCTCTGACGGAAGACAGGCGTTGTTGCATGCTGGAACGGAAGTCCAAAGCCTCCAAGGAACGTGTTGCATGTGTGCGACGGCGACGCGATCCAAATTTGATCGACATGACCCACAGGTCTTCTTTGGTTTTTGCTTCATTTACTTTGCTGTTAGTCTGTCAGCTGGTGCCGTTTGCATGGCATGTATATGTGCGCCACTTGATAGTGAAATTTGGTAACCCCATTTAGGGTCTGTTCGTTTAACCTAGAACCAAGAGGATTGAGAGAGACTGAATCCTCTATAAATCAAAATCTTCCTCGACCCTCTTCAATCCCTTTGATTCTAGTAACAATTAAACCAGGTCTTACGGTTGCAAGTCATAAATCCCTATCCAACACAAGAATTCCAAAGAAGACAGAGGCCTAAAAAATTCTCTTTTTTTTTTTTCTGGAGATAGGTTAGCTGCCCGTCCATGTGTTACTCCTTTTATTATCTTTTATAAGACATGATTTAAGATGGCATGATCTTCCACATACGTTTTAACTATTTATTATTTTATTTCTAATTTTTTATATTTATAAATTTATGATAGTTGAATAGCATATTTAATTACAAATCTAACATTATCAAGTTTTTTTTAGAAAGGGGAATATATTAATATTCCAGCTTCTGCATCAACCAATGCATATAGTTGTTGCTTATTACAACACAAGCACTGCAATCCACGCAATCTCAAACACAAAGTTTTGATCTAAAGAAAAAAATAGAGAAGTTTTCAAACTCGACATCTAGAGAGCAATTCTATTACTAAATCTCAACCGTATCAAGTTTGTATTATATGTAATAATTAAAAATTGTAGCCAAGTTATTGGTCAAAGATTTTATTTAGTCGACTGGTGGGAGTCGATCTTGCTTTTAATCCCAAAAGAGAAGAGGCGCGGTTTCATCAGAATGGTAATCTATACCATCTGGAATTTGTGGAAAGAACGCAATCCAAGAATCTTCGACAACAAGTCCTCCACAGCCATTCAAGTGGCCGAGCGCACCAAGACATAGAACAATATAGAAGGGCTTTTGCAACTGGGCACTATTAGATCACGTTTCGAGCCAGGGATTCACCTCACTCTAGAAGCTGTGACACTTTGGCGTTTTGGGGGCATGGTTTGGCCTTAGAACCACTCAGTACATAAACTTTCTTTCTCCTTAATGAATGGGCAGAGCTCCTGCCGTTTTCTTTCAAAAAAAGATTTTATTTAAAGTTTAAATCTTTAATATATGTGTGTGTGCCTTGTAATAAAAGAAAATAGAGGGGGTAAAATAGAGGAGGAGGTCTCAACAAACTTGATTCGAAAGCTGGGATTGGTCAGTTAGCGCCCAAGTATCCATTTTTACATATACTTTGACAATGTACTGTTGATCTAGCATCGCTGAAGGCAAGAAGAGAGCAATATGATAAGAGTCACTGCTCCAGCATTTACATGTCAAATATTTTTCACAGCATACTGTCGTATCAACAGAAAGAATTCGTGACCTTCACCTAGGAGAATTTGTGTACGTTGAGAATACATGCCCAAAATTTCCTGTTGAACAGATACCAACCGTTGCCTTCTAAAAAAAAAACTCGAAGAATCTTTGCAACTGATGCTCAATGCTCAACGAAACGAAAATTGTATCTCCTCTAGCGTTCTTCCCTTCGTCTCCGGCACCCAAAGGACGACAAAAACGAGGGTGAAGGCGCTCACAACCATGTACGAGAGGAAAGTGCCTGCCCAAAAAAAATGCATCAGCTTCCATGGTTCATAATCCTATCCTAGTTAGAGTTGAAACACAAAAAAGGTGTGGTGTGGACCTCCAACACTCCAGGTGAGCATCAAGTTCGTCGTCATTGTTATGGCAAAGGATGTCAGCCAGTTGGCCAGTGTCGCGATGCTTCCGCCGAAACTCTTGATGCTAACTGGGAGGATCTGAAAAACACAAAGTTTGAATTATACATTCAGATATCTCTTATAGCACGTGCCTAAGCTGTAGCTTCAGACTCTTGCTTCTTGCTTATGCAAATAGTTCTCTTCGGTAAGATGCAACCAAGTAGTGTACCTCAGACATCATGAGCCACGGAATGGCACCCATACCAAACGAGAAGGTAATGACAAAAGCCTGAACATAGTTGCACGACTCATTATTTTGGCACAGAGTCTGCAGTGGTATCCAATTTTTCAGAAGAAACATAACTGAGACATACCACGATAGCAACCAAGGAGATCATAGTTAAGATGTAGTACGAGTTAGAATCCTGTGAAATCTTATCCTAGAAAAAACGAAGCTTAAAAAGGATTAGAGGAAAATTCAGTAGATATTGTACAAAATCTGCATAGTCATGCGTTACCAATATAGTTTACTATTGCAAGGACAGTTAGTGTCAGTACAATAATTATTATCTTCTCACTGGAATCCTAGCTAAAGAAACATGAACATACCTTCAGAAAAAATACAACAGAAACGGCAAGAAGGCATAGAGTCATGCCAGAGGTAGAAATCTGTCATTTGAAGTCGGTGTTAATTCAGAATTACAGGAAGCATGCAGGCTAGTTATTTCACAGGGAAGAGAAAGTTACAATGAGAAGCATGCGTCGTCCAGCTCTGTCTAACAACCATGTCGTAACTCCAGTAGCAAGGACCTGACAAAAATGCAGTGACCAGCTTAATATAAATTACAGATAAATTGTATCAGGTTATAAACTCATCCTAGCTACGCGCACCTGGATAGCTCCAAGTGAACAGGTGGCCAAGTCGCTGTTTGTAACACCTGAAGATTTTGGATGTTAATTTGGAACAAAAGTATACTATATTATCGTTGTTGTAAAGCATGGTAAAGGAGCTCAAACTAATACATAGTGCTTATGTATTCAAATAATACATAGGGTCTATCAGACGTGGAAATGATCTAAATTTACAAATGCAATGAAATGCCATATTTTAGTGATGAAAGGGAATGATAAACTATATTACAAGGTAGCTCATTTTATAATCTTTCTTGATCCTACTATGATCTAGGAAGATATTAAGTTTGTGCATTCTAGTGGTTTGAAAATCAGTAGTCTATTATTCTATTCCTTCATCTGGAAAGCATACTGCCAAACAAACAATGGTATTAAAGGTTGCTTCATTATTGGTTATCAGTAGTCATTATCATTTCAATTAAATTTGCAAGGTATCCAAACTATCATGCCTAAAACTTATTAAACCAACTACTATGAACTAAAAAAGTACAGAAAAGATAAAGACTGCAGCTTACCTGCAGCTTTGAAGATGCTACTTGCATAAAACAGTACACCGTTGATTCCACTTAGATTTTGCAGTACAAGTAGGCCAATTCCTAGCTGCCAAGTTAATAAATAATCATAATTAGAAACTATAGCTGTTGATTTGGCATGGATTAAGCTGACGAAGTTAAGGAAGTTACAAGTAGTGGCGTGCGGTATTTCTTTTGGTTTAATTCTTGAAAACTGATTGTAGTCCTCTTACTTGATGATGTCACTGCCCTCTGCAAAAGGATCAAACCAAAAGATGATTCTGTTGATTCCATAAGAACGTGGTACATAGATCCATGTGTCTAATTTAAATAAAATCTTCACAGCTAAACTGGAAATAGATCATATATACTGCATTTAGTCACTCCAGAGAATAATAGAGGTGCTTTGCCTTTATATCATTCACTTCTGTCGTGATGTCAGTCTCAAACCCCCTCAGTACTTGTAGGGACGTCTCGCAATCTTCCATCAAATTCATCTTTGCCTAGAGATAAGAGAAAGATAAATGGTCGCTAAGATTTCAGTTTGATGCAACAGATCATAATTCAGATCCAGTTTATGCATATATATACCAGCCATCTAGGAGATTCTGGAATGAAGAATAGTCCAGGAATCAACACTGTGCAGGGCAAGGCTCCTGTAATTGGCAACCCAGACATTTAGATAAGAAATAATGACACACTTACTAGTCTGCATTTAATATCTTCCTAGATAGTATATTTCTAAGTTTAGTCATATTGGGGAAAGCCATTTGCAGTTAGTGATCTTGTGAGCTGAAACATCAGTGGTTAAGTATAAACTGTAAGCAACAAGAAGAAAAGAAAATTCAGTAATACATAAGTAGTTAGCAAAATTACCGATCACTGCTAGAAGTCTCCAAGGAACAAACATGCCGAGCAAATAGGCCAAGAATATGCCAAAGGTCACGGACAACTGTAGGATGAACAATTGCACAATGAATCAAATATAAATAAACCAAGTACTATTTTTTAACAAAAAGATAAGATAGTTATGAGGAAGCACACCTGGTTCACAGAACCAAGAGCTCCTCTCATGTTCTGAGGAGATATCTCTGCTATGTATACAGGTACCTGGTAACAAATTATCAAGAAATAGTATTGTAATTAGTCCAAGCCTCCAAGGTTCTTTTGGCAACAAACAAATTATACATTGGTCATGGTTCACTCTGTCTCCATTTTTTACCCCTAAATGTCCCCAAAATATTGGAATCTCACTCGATATTTTGATCTCTCACTTTTCCAAGCAGCAACTGCACCAGTTTCTTAAGTTTTGAAAGTACAAATATCTTCTGTACAAGAAATAAGCAGGCAACAAATCTTCTTTTACGAACCGTATAGGATATGATGCCGACACCAAACCCTTCGAGCAATCGTCCCATATACAGAAATGAGGCATCCTGTAAAACAGAAATCGACAGATGGCAGGCATCAATCTTATGTTTTCAGAAGCAGCAACGGGTGAAAATAAACTCAGGGAACATGTACTTGTTGAGTACTTTTGCAAAGGAGATCGCAAGCCAACCGATGATATTCGGGATTGCAGCAATCATCAACGACTGCAACCATTTAGCAAAACCGTCAGACTAAAATAGTACAGCTCTAGTGCAATTAACTACGACTGAAATGCGGTGATATGTTGAACACCAGACTGAACTTCTATGTACAAAATATCCACACCATTTCTTGGACACACTAAAACTGCATGATTAATACAGAATATCAACAACAAAGGAAAGTAGGAAACAGACGAACATGAAGAAACCGTGCCAAATCCCAATTTGGTTAACTGCACAAAAAGAACAGAGTCCACAGGCATTAATCCTTGCAAAATTATTGACTATTTTCAAAATTCCACCTGCTTTTATTTTCTGAAGAAAAAGTCCTCCCACCTAATTTTTTTTGAAAATACCGTATCCTATTTATATTTGGGTTCTTTATCACAGAAAAGGATGTCTTTTGCATTCAAAAAAAGAAAGAAAAGGATGTCTTTTCTTGTTGGTTAGTCTAAAGTCTAAACGCAGCCTCCTCTCTGTCGATAAAGAAGTGATGTTGACCCTCCTTCGTCGTCAGCTTACAAGTAACAAACTGATATTAAAATGGAAGGACAGCTGATAACTACCAAGAAAGAAAGGGGGGTCGAATTCCTCACCCCTTTACGGCCAATGTGCTCGGCCATCTGCCCGCTGGCGATCGCCCCGACCATGGCGCCGACGTTGGACAGCGAGCCGAACGCCGAGAACTGCAGCACGCGCGGGCGCGGTCAGTACGTATTATTCTCAGGCACGATTCTTCAAAAGAAAAAAGAAACAAATCTCAGAGACGTGGATTAGTTTGTTACCTCGGAGATGGAGAGGTTGAGGTCACGAACCATGGCGTCCTGAGTCGGGGAGGAGAAGCCGCTGGTGAAGCCGAACTGGATGGGCCCGAGCGCGACGATGAGCGTGCAGAGGAAGGCGGAGACGTGGGACTCGCGCAGGACGGCCATGGAGGAGGCCCCGGGGGCGACGCTGGACTGCCGCGAGCTCATCCGGTACCAGCTGCCCGTGTGGAGCAGCGGCTTCCGCAGCCCGCCGTCGTGGTCGCTGCCGCTCTCCTCGCCGGCGCCGCCTCTGTTGCTGCCGCCACCCATGGTGTCGCTTCGCTCGCTCGCCGGCCGGGCACCGCCTCTCGCCGCAAGCTTTGATTTTTCTTCTTCTTCTTCTTGCCCGCTGGCCTGAAGGAGGACGAGGAAGAAGAGCAGCGGACAACGATCGATGCGAAGTCGAACCGTCGTCCCGTTGAAATGGGCAAGATAGGACAGAGGGGGTGACCGAACCGAGGGAGTGGGGTTGTCTTGTCCGAATTGTGAGGGACCCACCTGTCAGGCACCTAGTCAGATGAGCTCGCCGACTAGGGCCTCGTTTAGATTGTAAGTTTTTTCACTCTCTCCATCACATCAAATCTTTGATATATGCATAAAGTATTAAATGTAGATAAAAAATAACTAATTACACAGTTTAATTGTAAATTACGAGACGAATCTTTTGAGCCTAGTTAGGCTATGATTAAACAATAATTATCAAATACAAACAAAAATGCTAAATCCTAAATACTGATTTCTAACTCCAATCTAAACGAGGCCGAGCCACTTTTTCGTTGTCCTATTTCTCGTCATCTATAGGAGACCAGGAGTACGAATGTACTTAAGTACAGAAAAAAATGGCGACAACATATTTCTGCTATACTATCTTTTGTAGCCATTTTTTCTATGGTGATCCATATCACTAAGCTTACATTTATTTGTATCCAAGCGGCGAGGTCGTCATATAACATTTCTGCAGATCATATCCTAATAAATGAATGAAATAAAATGCAGTTGTTGAACTGATAAGAAGGCAGAAAGATTGGTGATCATAACATTCTTTCCCCTGCAATAAGTGGTAGTACAACGGGGTGTTTAGATACTAATAAGAAATATTAAATATAGATTAATTATAAAACTAATTACATATATAAAGGCTAATTTGCATTCACTAGATTACAGAAGCACTCGTCCAGATCCTGTTAGAATATAGGCAGGCATGTACATTTCTTACTATACCATATGTCCATATGCGTGCAGGCACGTTGGTGCCAGCCCATGGGAGCTGTCGCCGAGCACCGGATCGGCCGGAGCTGCATGCGTGCCGCGTGCCCTCCGCCACGGCGCCAAGTCATGTCATGCTCCATGGAACATGGGAGCAAAAGCATCTCTCCCTGCTTCGATCGATCTGGCTATGGTCGCCGTGCAGCATAGAGTAAAGGAACCTGTCGTCGATGCCATGGCTACTACTTGATGAAAGCGCCAAGGGACATGTGAGCGAGGACGGCGCGAGGCGAGACTATTCGTGCCTCTTTGGGCGTGGCGTGGCATGGCAGATCTCCCGCTCCAAGAGCTCATATGGTTGATGGAGATGCGCTGCGCCGCTCGTCGTCGTCATCTCTCGTCTCCGTGTTTGGTAATTAACCCTGGTGCATGCTGGGCGTTCATTGGTGCTCTGCGATCGCGCACGTGATCGCGAGATTGGTGGGCTATTTAATTAATCGGATGGTGTTTTGTTTCCACCATCTTCCATTTCCACTAGCTTCAATCGCCTCTAGTACCAACGTCTGGGAAAATAATTCGAGACACCGTGATCACGACATGCGCATGGATTATGAATTTATGTTAAATAATTCCAGAAAAAAAATATAACACCCTGTGACGTCAGGTGCCACGACTAGCGCCCGAACGTAAGGAACCCGAACGTAAGGAACGCATTGTCTGTCCGGACGCAGCTCTCGCACCCGCGCCCGACGCACGCAACTCCCTATGCCCCGCGCCAAATCCTCCTCCGGAGGCAGCGTCCGTCCGAACGGTGCTCCGCGCCTGCACCCGACGCCCGCCCACATCGCACCTGCACCTGCCCGCATCGCGTGCCAGCGTTTGGAACTGCACCCCTGTGCCCGCATGTGAACCACGGCGGCAGCACCAGGCGGTTGCGGCAGGCAACTATCCATCAGCCGCCAATACATATCGCAACATGTGCAACACCCAATCTATTTTTGAAACATAAACATAAAACATTTGCAACATACAATTGAAACGGATAAAACATTTGAAATATATTTTTGAAACATGCGTGTATAGCCATAGTAACATATGCAACATTCAGATTCACTTTTGCAACATAAAGTCTGAAACCTTTAGAACACATAAAAATAAACACTTGAAACATTCGTGTGCAGCCATAGCAAACATATGCAACATCCAGATGAAAACGCCTAAACATGCGTCTGAAACACTTTGAACGTAGGCTTAAAACATGCGTACATTCAGCCTGTTCGCTGGTTGGTTTCTGGGCTGATAAGCCCGGCTGGTACTAGTTTGTTGTGAGAGAAAAACACTGTTGGCTGGCTGATAAGCCATGACTGAAACCAACAAGCGAACAGGATGTTTGTCATTGCAACATATGAAACGTCATAGATATACTTTTACAACATCCAAATGAACACAATTATACATAAGTGCGACGGCCATAACCTAACTGGTAGGGAACTCCGGTAGCCAACAAGCTCGGGTTAGAGGGACGTCGAGAGCAACAGTCCAACGTACACCCCAGGCGTAGCGCGCATGTCTAAACCCCTGCCTCTCCTTCTGCGACGAGCGAGGTGGATGGGGCATGGTGCGGACGCAGAGTAGCACGAGATGTGGCCGGTGTGGCGGCATAGAGGAAGGCGGGCGGGAGCGCAGCGGAGTATGGTCGCGGAGCGCAGTCCCAGACTCGTGGCGTTGCGGCGATATCCTTTTTAAGAAATTATGATGCCTCAAGGGGAGCAAATATAGGAGCGGATAAAAAAGCCTCGTGGACATCACGAGCCACCAATAGAGCCATACAGAACGTCCTAGATAGAGCATCCCCCCACACCCAAACAGATCTCAACCCGTTTCGGGTCTCGATTATTCCCATGGAAAAAGCCTTTTTTACCTAGTTAACTTTTAAGATAGTCTAATTCTCCTTCTCATTTTATAAAACTGGGATTTTGAATCTCCTCAACTTTTAAACCTGATCGGTATAACTACTTTTAGCTGGTTGCCGCTGCCGGTTGTTGCTGTTTTCCTTTAGGTATTGTACTAGGTAGCGTGCCCGTATGTTGCTACGGGACAACTAAACTTTCGTACTAAAAACATATAGATCGCACGATAAGATAACAATACTGTGAAATTAAATAACGACGTTAAAATGACATTTAATCCAAAAGGCAAATTTCATGAAATTAACATAACCTTTGTACTAAAAACACATGGATCGCACGATAAGATAACAATACTGTGAAATTAAATACCGACTTTAAAGTAATATTTAATCCAAAAAGCAAAGTTTATGAAAATAACACTCTTACGGAGAGCGCGGCGTCGCAGGCTCACTAACTCTACTGTATAGACCTTTCCGTGCGTTGCAGCAGGATAAATAATGTCCTAATAATTTGAGCATGTGAAAGGTCCTTGTGTGGTTTTGGTAATTGAGTGACAACCTAGACGGACTAATTATGTTTATGTGAGATACACAGGTGATTAGTCCATAGGTACATGTGTGTGAGCAACATATGCCATGAAGGCGAAAATGGCTTGGAGATGTTGCAAAGCTCACACATATGATGATGAAGGAACTCATTGCACATGAGACATGCCATTGAGTCATGTGATCAAGGTGGAGAAGATCAAGACAAGACTTGGCTTGATGGACCGGTTGCAAGCGTGAAGGACAAGTCGGAGGTTTTGGAGCGATGGACCGCGTGGCGGTGAAGCTTGAGCAAGACTTGGCGCCGATGGACGAAGGCAACGGTGAAAAGCAAGTGAAGTCGAGATTGATGAACCAATATGATCACGTGATGATATGAAGTGGATCATATCATTGTTGATCATGTTGGTGCATGTGTTGCATCGACATTGGAGGAGATGGAATGGAATGCGCAAGGCAAAGATATAACCTAGGACATTTCATTTCACCGGTCATAGGTGTGTAGAGAAGTTGATGACCGGGTTTAGGATAGATGACCGTACTATCAAGAGGGGCAAACTTGTTTGCATATCGGTCATCTAATGCCACTCAAGTGATCTAACTTTGCATCGTCGCTAGGATTGAGTGACGTGGCAAGTTGAGTGGCTAATCCTTTGGAAAATGTTTGTGAAAATGCTAACACATATACGCATGATGGTGTACACTTGGTGGTGTTGGCACATTTATAAAGGAGATGAAGTTGGAGTTGATGTGGATCAACTCGGCGATGAAACGGAGGTGAGAAGGGTTAGAAACTCCACCGGCGGAGTGTGCGGATAGTCCAACGGTGCCACCGACGCCCTATATAGAAAAGATAGGGTCTCACAGAGTGGACCGGACGCTGGTCACATGGTGACCGGACGCTAGGGTCCTACGTCCGGTCAGTGGCGGCAGAGAGTGTGTAGGCATCGATCTTCGATCGGACACTGGCGCTGAAAGTGACCAGACACTGGCAGGGTGCGTCTGGTCAGGCTGACGTACGATGACGTAGGCGACGCCGAGAAGGTGGAGAAGGACCGGACGCTGATGCTGCGTCCGATCGTGATTGGTACCTTACTGGAAACGACCGGACGCTGGGGTTGCTGCGTCCGGTCACTTTGAGCAGCTGCGTCCGGTCATCATTTGACCGTTGAGATCAAGCGACTGAGGTTGAACGGTGGCAACACATGGCGAGCATCCGTTGACTGGACGCTGAGGTCCTACGTCCGGTCGATATGACCGGCGCGTCCGGTCAACCTGAAAAACACCCATTGAAGGGGTAACGGCTAGTTTAGCCCGTGGGGTTATAAATAGAAGGGTGTCTCGGCCATGGCTGGCGTTGAGCACCTAGGGGACTTTGTGTCCATGCTTGAGAGTGCTTGGGAGCCCTCCATCTCACATATGCTTGATAGTGATCATCCGATTGTGTGAGAGAGCGATTGTAGTGCGATTGCATAGTGAGGTTGCATCGAGTGGCACTAGGTGATCGAGTTGCAAGCCGATGGTGCTTGTTACTCAGGTTGCCACCTCCTAGATGGCTTGGTGGTGGTCTCCGTCGAAGCCCGCAAGAAGCTTATGCGGTGCTCCGGAG